TACGTATGGTGTATTCGAGTTGTAGAGAGGAGACGGGCGCAGACGGATAGGCAGATGCCGTGGCTTCTTTTTGTGCACGTGTGTGTTACACAGCTTCAACAATTTCTTACAGACAAGCTGGTACTCCATCATGCCGACCACGAATTACAAAATTTGCGACTTTTCTGTCCACAACACTACTTTCACGGATGTCTCACCACTTGGAATACACCACAATTATTTCTACCACTACCAGATCTCACTGCCCAACAACTTCACCAGTTTCTCACACAATCGTTCCCCGCCAGCATACGTCGAGCCCACCCATGGGGATTCCGCAAGCAATTCTACACACCACATGGTGTAGTCTTCCTCAAACAAAAGAAATCTTGGCGCAAAGGTAGAACAGTCATCAGCTACTTCAGATCCATTGCTGGCACACTACTACGAGCCACCTCCAAAGCATTAGACATCATGCTCCTTCATCTTCTACCACAACATCCAGGCCAGTTATCCATACCCAACCTGTGGCAACATCTCCACAACCACTTCCAGACCACACCCGACGACATCCACCTCACACCAATCAATGATGACCTCGTCGGCTTCTTCAACAGTGTACCTCAGCAACGCCTCGTCGATGCAGTCATCAGCCTATGCCACCGCTGGAAAACACAACACAATACTACCACCATCACCATAGATGTTCAGTCTACTGGCAATCCCCTCCAACACTCCCACATTGGTCGACACTACATTCACCACCCACAACAACGCACCCTGGACACTCAACACATCCCCCTCATTGTACAACAAGCCCTTCACTCATGCATTTTCCAAGCATGCAACACCTACTACAAACAAATCCAAGGAGCAGGCATTGGCAGTCAGCTCTCACCAGCACTTTGCAATGTCGCAATCACACTCATCGAACACACATGGCAAACCACGTACCACAATTTCTTGCACCAACCCAGCCTTCATTTGCTCAACACCCGCTACGTTGACAACCGATACATTTTGCTCAACGAACAATACAGGTCAGCACTTCCCATCACCACTTTGGCCCATCCTGAATTTTATGAACACCCAGTTGAAATAGAGCCAGTGGACGACGACCATCTACTCGGTTTCCTGATCGATCCTCTCAACAGAACGGTCACCTTTCAACTCCCCGCTCATCCCTGGCAGATTCGTGATCCGCAGTCTGCAGGGAGTCACAGACTACGCCTCTCAGGCCTACAATCACGCCACCACACGCTACAAAAGTACACTTTCCCAAAACATCTAGTACCCACGACAGCACAGCAGTTGATGCAGCTCTATATGACCAAAGGTCATTCAAAAGAACACTGCGCCGCGGCGCTGCGGCCACGAAGAAAAAGACTATGCGCCAGCACCTTCACAGACTGTTGTTGTATACAATTTACAGTATTGAACTTTTTCGATGTCCAGCCCTTCCACTATTTATTATCCAGGTCCTACCTGATCCGATCTAGTTGCGCCGATACGGCTCTTTGTGTGTGTCCAATCCTGTTTCCAAGGACACTACTCTAGTTCTCGTTCTAACCTACCCTACGAATCTTCCAACCACTGTACAGTAGCAGGGGGCACGGCGGCCGTTCACCTAGCCGTGCTAACAAAGCTATGGTGTTCGGTTGGAAGAGATACTGGACGCAGTATCTTGTACCTGCAATTTTTTAATTTTCACTCATTGATGCTTCTAAGTCAGTTCAACGCTGTCTCATACGTTGATTTTGCAATAAAGTGCTAATGCTCTCGGCTAATGCTGTACCTAAATGTAAAGGGCTAATGCACACCGCGAAGCAGCCTGAAATCACGCTCCACGGAGCAACCTTCTCAAGTGTGTGTTTGTTGTTTTGAGGTTTCGTTCTTTTCCACGTTCATCCACTTTCATTGCTTGCTTTGGGAGAACGCTTCGCAGCTTGGAACATGAGGGGCCCTTCGGCACACGCGGAACAACGCGGGTTCACCACATGCAGCGGGTGCTGCATGATGGATGCATGGATCCCCTGGTCCAGGTGGCAACCAGGCACAAAGGGGTGCCATTCTTGGAGGAAGTCGGGGTGCCCTTGTCACATCCACTCACTGAGGGACTAAAAACCAGCCCGACATGTGACTCTTGGTGGTTTGTCTTTTGTTGTTCCAATCATGCAGCCTCGACCGGCTTTTTGACCAGGTAGTAAGTAGTTGCCTCGAGGTCCTGGTGGGTTTGCAGATCAAGATGACGGTTGAACCATTTGATCCTAGTACATTGTTCACTATTCAACCAACAAATGGGACAAGACGGAACCCCCACAAAAGAACAGAAGAAACACGCTGAAGGTATTTTGAGGCTCCAGATGCTACAAAGGGAAATTTCCGAGAATGGACTTCTGGATAATTAGTGTTGGTATGTGTTGATGATGAAATCCTGCAGCAACAAGACTCCCACAAACACTCAAAACTTGGTCTTCGTATCAGAGTGTTGACACATGCCTGAAGGTTTCTGAGTTCTCCTTCAGGACCGAGCACCGACTCTGCCCACATGCCACGGATTTGTCAGGTGGTGGACTTCTTGAAGAACACCTCCCGGTGCGCCGGCTTTGGATGGTGTTTCTCCGGATGCTCCGATGGATGGTTTGGATGTTGACATGTGGCCTTCCAGAGAGCGATGCGATTGATTATTTTTGTTGAGAGAGAGGTAAAGGGAGAGGATGGTAGAGTAGTAGAGTAGTAGTGGTTGAGGATGGTGGGCCTGTTTGGAATCTCCCAACGGAATTGAAATCAGTTGGAAGATGCTGGGAGTAGACGCAGAGAGTCGCCTGTTGACATCACCTCAGGGTTCAGGACACAAGCAGAACGGACTCGTGTCTCCTGACTTGTTGGGGGGCCGTCTCTCTATGCACATCTGGGTGGAGTGGCCCACCATCTATGGAAGGTCATCTTGAGCCAACGTCAAGGGTGACTTTGGGTGGGCTTCTCATTTAGAACATCTTGAGACAAAAGGGGCCGGGTGAAGTACGACGTACTTCACATCGGTCGCTTACTTCGAATGCTCTCTACCTTCAAGACCACTCAGCTCCAGTGGTTATCAGACCAGGGAGGCTGCCGCCGAGTCGCCGGTCGAGTCAGTACCTGCGGTGATCTGGAACCCACCCTGACGAAGAACCAACTACCAGCCTAGGTCTCTAACTCTGACTGGCAAGGTGACGAGGACAGTGCCATTTTTTGTGTGATCTTTTGAGCGAGTTCAGGCAAAAGCACAGGCTATTAGAGCTTGCGGACTCCGGAGGTGTGATTCTTGTCAGATGCGAATCAGAAAGGGAAAAAAACAAAAACACAGAAAAAAAACACAGAAAAAGAACGGCTTTCTCGTCAAAGTATATGTAGAAGAACTGAACGCGCGATCGGATCGACCACTTCGGCACTTCGCGGACCGTCGGCGAACGGCGGGGCCCGGTGGAATCGCATGGGGTGGAAGACCTCCCAAGTAGCGCCATACTCAAGGCATTGTTTCATTTCACTTTTAGATCAGTTGCACTCCAAAGTTGGGGTGATTTGGTTTCCACAAACACTCTTTGTCTCAGTGAGTCTTCATGCGCGGTTTCGAGGTACTCTGAACTGGGCGCCAAGATTCCCAAGGGTGCCTTGCAACTCAGCTGGTGCACGTTTTGGTCATTTCAGAGAGGCAGTTGAGACTTTGGACTCATGTGTTGTCCAACTACGTCTTACTCACACTCATTGATGATGTCCAAGAATAAGACTCATGCAATCAGTAGCCATCACGAGCCACTGAGAAGAACCCCCGGGGTTTTAGCCGAGTGATGGATGAGTTTGGGATGGAACGTATGACATGATTTATTGTTGTATTTCTGAAGGTTGTGGTCCAAGACCAAAAATCATAGACGTAGTGTATCAGGTTTTCATTCGGGGTGGCATTTAGAGCATTCCGCTGTGGCGTTGGTGGAGCATTTCCACATGCCACAGCTTCAAATAGAGCCAAGTAGAGCACACTGAGTGGACGATCGGATCGGTGCACCAGAGCTCCGTCCGAATCGATCGCGTGGACGCGCGTCCGGGTGGGGGACGGGTTCTGTATACCAACAATGCGAAGCTGCGGAGCGGATCGCTGAATTGGCCTTCGGCACGTTGGGCATGAACACTGAACTGAACCAGCCTCTCCTCATGGTTTTTCTCTGATCGAGACTGGTGTGTGCCTGCAACAAACAGTGACCGTGAGAGTCGCAGAAAAGACCCTATTTAAAAGATGGTCTTGATTGAATCAATGTGCCCTTTTCGTGCCCAATGGATCGTCCACATCCCGTACTTTGACCCTTCAATCCCGCTCATCCCTCACGAGATATGTGGATCTCCCATCGATCGAGCCGAACGATGGGCCATGGGGTACCACATCCGCGACCCCGAACGACCGATCTGCGGCGCCGTGAGGTTGGTCGGCCCTCCTGGCACGGGGAAGACCTTGCTGGCCAAGGCGGTCGCTGGAGAGGCACCGCGTCGTACGCGGCGGTTTTGGAGCAACTCCTGCGACGTGCTCTGGGGTTCCCAAAACGGAACAGGATCATCCGTAAGGGGTTCACCAATAGACTACCCTGATATTATACTTTGCACTACCAAAAATGGAACTCCATGGATAAAAAGCAAAATTCGGATGATCCTGGTGTTCTTTTGGTCTGGTGGATTTGGACACTCCTTCATGATCAGTCAGGTGCTCCTTCAGCATGGAGGGATGGGCGGGGTCGGAGTCGGCTGCGTTGGGAAGGGAGTGAAGAAGTTGATGGAGCGGAGCAAAGGGGTTTTGGACATGGTCATCGCGGGTTCAGGCCACAGGCAGTGCCTATTTTGGGGATGCTCAGTTACTAGCGTTTTTGAGCCGGAGGGAGCGCTTCGCAGCTTTCATGGGGCAACTCATGGAGATGGCGGAAGAGATTGGGCGGTGGAGCATATCTGACTCACGCGGGAGCGTCTTGCCCATTGCCGCTTCTCTCGAAGAAGTTGTTGTCCTGGACCAGTCAGAGAGTTGAGAAGAACGCTTTCAAGCGGGTCTTGGATCACCCAAAGTAATGCATTCTTGTTGATCGACCCAAGCTGCCACTGATCTACTATCATCTACTATCCAATAACCACCCAAATTATGGGTGTTGCTGGCACAATATATAGACAGGTTACGTCGACGCTCTGTTCACAGCCCAGGTTCGCTCCCTCAAAAGCTAGGGATTGGTTCCGCACGACCGCTCGCCGCGGTTCTTTTCTCGGGTAAAAAGAGGCTTCGTATGGTTTCATGCCTTCACAAACTTGGTACACTTCTTGATTTAAGTGCATGTTCCTGCACTCTCAAACTAGGTACACTTCTTGATTTGTGTGCACCTCTTCTCAACCAAAACCATGGTACACTTCTCTATTTGTGCACCGGCACTCCCCCTTTGGCCAAAAGTGGCCAAATTTTGGTGCCATCTCCTTCGGAAAACAAGACCTTTTCGGCCTTCCCTCAAAATGGTCATTTTGACCTTCAGCTCAAGCCCCCTTTCACTTCAAGTCTGGGCGTCCTGAAGAGCGTGTAGCCGACCCACGTGTTGGGCAGATAGGAGCTTCTCTTCCCCTGCCTCCTGTCGACCATGATGTACTTCTCCTTCCTCAGGGTCGCCCAAGCAATCGTGAGCCTCCATGGCAGCCACTCTCGCTCGTCCCAGAGATGCGGGTTCTCGAAGTCGAACATCTTCTTCCTCTCCTGGACGTGTTCCCTGATCGTCACCTTCCCCCCGTCAGGCAGGTCCTCGATCGTCAGCCACGTGTCCTTCGCTGCAGTCCTCTTTGGTGGAACTCCCACCTTCCTTCGCAACGCCGCCGTGAAGAACCCCGGCTGGAAGAGCTCGTCCTGCAGGAAATCCCACACCTCCTCGTTCCATAGGGTCCACTTCCCGAGCGTGATGCCATCGCCGACCGGTGAGATGAAGTTCAATGCCTCACTCCTCATCCCGATTCCCTTACTTCCGAAGGCCATCATCTCGGACGCCCCGCCCCTGGAGTCTGCTGCTCCTTCGGTCTCGACTGTCTCCTCCGTCTCGCCAGCTCCAATGCCCGGTGCCCCCTTCGATGCCGATGATGTAGTGCCTTCCTCTACCCCTTCAGCTCTCTGTGTTACCGAGGGCTGCGGTGGTCGATCCGAGCCGTGCTCATTGAAGATCACGTGAGTGCCCTCGGAGTCCATCATGATCCAAGTCCCTCCGAAGTTCTTCCTAGGGCCTCGTCTCTCCATCATCCGATCCCAGGCCGACATCCCCAGGCCCAGGCTCGCTCTCCTTTTCCTCTCTGCCTCCGGATCATAGTGTCCACGATGCCATATGTCAGGATCGGGTCCCGGGTGGCGTTCATCTGGTTCAGGTCGGCTTGGAGATGGTTGGCCAGTTCCACTGCCTGCCTCTTCAGCCGATGTCCGGCCAGGGGTCATCAGGTTCTGCCCAAGGGTATGCTTCTTCGTGGGCTGAGTATCCAAAACCTCTGCTTCCCCTCTGAGTTTCGCTCAGGTCCTCCACGTGGTTAACCCCCACCTCCAGGATGCGCTCCACGACCAACTGAGCCACTCGATCACCCTTGTAGACCCTTAGGTCGTCATCAGACCAGTTCCTCAGCAGAACCTTCACTTCGCCCCGGAAGTCCCGGTCCACCACTCCAGCTCCCGTTTCAATGCCTCGAATTGCCAGCGATGATCGTGGGGCTATTCGTCCATAAGTCCCAGCCGGCAGCTCGATGGCAATCCCGGTCTTGATCAGAACGCTCTCTCCTGGAGGGACCAAGGTCTCAATGGTCGAGTACAGGTCCAAACCAGCGGCATGATCTGATCCTCTGGTCGGCAGTCGGGCCTCCGGGTTGAGCAGTTTCACCCTAATTTCCTCTCTTGGCCTGAACCAACGTTGGATGCCCGAAGTTCCCACCCGAAAGGCGATGTCGACCAGGATCGCGATGGCTGCCGTAATCAGCACAATGATCCACCATTCACTCGTGGTCTCTGCCGTCTTCACCTCCGCTGCCTCCACTCTTCCCAACAGACTGGTGGCTGCGATGAGGAGGCCAATTCCTCGAGTGAACCCCGGTTCGACCCCTTTTGTGAGCTCAATCTTCTTGACTGCTATTGGCTCCTTCTCTGCTCCCTTCAACCCCAGAGCCTCCTTGAACCTCCCCAGTGCTGGTCCAGTCAGCTGCTTGGCGAAGCCATCCGCCACGAGGACCTTCCCTGACACATGATCCAACGTGACCTCCTTCTCCCGGATCGCCTCGGTGAGTCCAGCTGCCCTGATCCGCAAATGCCTCGTCCTCCATGACGATGTCGTCCCCGTCGCGATGGCGATGGCCGCTGTCGAGTCTGAGTGAAGCCTCACCTCTGCCTTCTCCTCCACGACGGCTTCCAACAAGGCTGCCGTAGATCTCCCTGCGATGAGCCCTTCTAACATCGCCATCAACTCGGCTTCTGCAGTTGAGAGTGTTATGAACGGCTGCCGTGTTGTCTGCCATCCGACGGGCGTTCCCCCGACAAAGACGACTACTCCGGAAATGCTCTTCAGCTCCGACGAACCATAGGAGGCATCCGTGTAAATGTCGACCGTCCTGATCGAGGCCTTCTCATCGCTGTTGACATTCTCCCGGTTCCCACCACCGTCTGCAGACATAACCAAGACTTCCTCTAGCGTCTCCTTGAGGTGTGCCCGGATCTGCTTCCCGATTTTGATCACCTGAGTCGGCCTCTTCGATGCCCACTGTGACATAATGCCAACCCCCAGCGACAGGTCGGGCCGTGATCTTCCTGCCACCCACAAGAGCTCACCCGTCTCCTTCTGCGCCTGGAGAACCTGGTCCGCGGTTGGCTGTTCCTCCTCCTCCGGAGTTCGGACTTGGCCCAAAGCGCTCCTTCCAGTCTCCTCGTACTCACCCAGCAGGTTGGTGATGTAGGCCTGTTGGTGGATCACATAGTCGACTCCGCGCTTCTCGATTTCCATTCCCAGGAATCTCACAGGCTCTCGCCCTTCTACCACCCATTCTGGTTCTCCGATCTTCCAATGGGTTTTCACTTGGTCAATGAACTCCAGGATGATGTCCTCCTCACCCACCATGAGCACGTCATCAACGTATGTCGCCAGTGCTCCCTTCGTTTTCCAGCCAGCATTCTCATCTTCCTCCTGGATTAGCCAGATGTCCGTCTGAAGGGTGGCCTGCACTCGGACTGGTCTTCCTTGTCGATGCCATCTGAAGTCCTTGATCTTCCCATCCCGGTGGTCACACCAATCACGAGGAGACGTCACTAACCCGTAGAGTGCTTTCTTCACCAGCCACAACTCCTTGGGATTCGCCAACACCTCCGCCTCCTGGAAGATCCTTGGTGGTTGCACGATAATCGTGCCTCGCTCATGGGCTGCCGGAGCGTTGAGGAAGGCGGTCTTGACGTCTAGCGTCGCCAGTGACCACTGGTTGACCGCTGCCATCTTGATCAGCATCCTCACCTCAGTTCCACTCGCTCCGGATGCAAAGGTCGACTCTGTGCTCTTGGCGTTCATGAAGTTTCCACACGCCACTCCCCGACATTTGTGTCGTCCGGATCCAGCCTTTCGGCTGAAGATGGCCTTCGCCGGGACGAGGTCAAAGTCCTTCCCCTGAGCCACCGCCTCTGCCTTCAACTGGTCGGTCCGGTCTCGATCGATGGGCTCTACTGCCTCTGATTCCGTGATCAACGCGGTGTACTCTTCCACCATTGATGGTCTCCACTCCTCCAGGTTCTTTCGGACTTCAGCTAGGCCGACCATCCTCGTCTGAAGGAACTGCTGCTCATCCCCTCTGGCCTGTGCTGCTTCTGTCAACCGGGCCGCTTCATCCTGCCGCCCTTGGATCATCGCCTCCTCTGAGATCTCTTCCACCTCTGCCGTCAACATCTTGATGAACCTCTTGTTGACGATCTCCCCCTCGTCCTCTTCCAGGAGGGACAACTCTCGAGCCAGATGTTTGGCCCCTCGGTGCTGCAGCTCCCCCCAGTCTATGGCCTGATTCTCATCGGCAGAGCCCTGAAGGAGTCTCATGCATTTCCTCACTCGCCCCGGCCTCTTCCGTGGCTGATCCACTTCCTCTCGGTCGTCCACCTCATGGATGTAGCCGGCCTCCCTCTCCGGGACCTCCAACTCCGCAGGTGCCTCACCGACCTGAATGATGTCTCCCGTGTGGAACATCTTGCCGGATTCGACCTCCTGAACCAGATACCCTGGAGTGGTCATTGACATCGTCACGGCCGGGCACAACACTCTGACCTTGGTGCGGGTCGTCGAGAGGTACTTCTGCCGGTCGCTGTAGTACTTCCTTTTTGCCCAAACCACCTGGCCGAACGGGGCCAAATCTCGCCTTTTCCACCCCATCGACTCCAGCTGACGTCTCAAGCGACCTTCTGCCCAATGCCTGGCTGCGTGACACCAGAAGCTCTCATCTAACCCGGCCGCAATGAGGAGCGTTCGTGCACCACGTTTCACCTGGGCAATCGCATTCTCTGCACGGCCGTTTCCCTTGAAGTTGTCACCGTCATTGAAGGTTCTCAGAATGCCCCTGTCGTGACACCACTTGTGGAACGCTCGGGATTGGTACTCCCCTGCGCGGTCCGAGTGCAAGCGCTTGACCGGGAGCCCCAAAAAGTCCAGTTTGGCGGCCATTCTCCCGATCGCCTCAACCACTGCAGGTCCTCCTCGATTCTCCAGCACCTCAACGATCAGGATCTGCTTGACCTGGAAGTCCTTCTCTGCTTCCACCTTTTCCAGCCAGGCCTTCTCGTCATTCAACCCTGGCCACTTTTCTCGCACACCCCCTTCCTCTTCCATCTCAACCACCGTCAGCTCCGGGCCATCACCTAGAGCTCCCGGCAGTTCATCCTCCTCATTAATGGGGATCAGTGATTGCCCTTCCTTGGTCACCGGAGCCAGGTAGACACCCACGAGCAGGTAGCGCCCCTTTCCCAATTGGTCCTCCGCCACCTCAAACGGCCCGGCAGTGTCGATCGAAAGGGTGTATGCGTCCGGATGCGGGACGCGTCGGTGAGCCTTGCTCCTTGAGGCAGCGACAACACACGCCCTGCATTCTCTGCTGTATGGCAGGTGACCATTGAGTAGATGCCGCTGCCAGGCGCCCAGGTCCATCCTCTTCAGATGAGAGTCACCCCTCTCCAGCGTCTCCTTCACCGCCACCACCAGTGCTGCCTTCAAGCCAGGAGCCCATGCCGCCCAGGACTTTGATCTCGCAATCCTCTCTTGGATTGAATCTCCTCGGTGTTCTTCTCCACCATGTCCTGGTCCACGAAGTCCCTCGAGTTCCCTCAGCCTGGGCATGTTCGTGCCCAACCTTGTCGGTTTTCTACGGGCGTGTCCCATTGGTCCTTGGTCGAACCGCACCTCAAAAAGGTCCCACTTCTCCTTGATTGTCCGCCACTCCGGCCATGACCAGTACGTGGGATATCGAGGATGTCGTTCCACCTCCTGCTCCATCTTGGACTCACCCAGGTATGCCTCAGGATCGTCAGGCTGTTCCAGTGCCGTGACCACCTTCCCTGGGGATGCCGCCTTTGAGGCTCGGTGATGTAGGTACACCTGTCTCAGCCACAAGAGGGTGTCATCCTCCACCTGCTGCTTCAACACTGGGTCCAACCCTGGCAAACCGAATCTTCCAGGTCCTTCTCGCTCTCGAAGGGGTGGAGGGCCAGGTTGTCTATACCTCAACCGGCTCATTGTCCTGCAGGGGGGTCCTCCGAGCAGTGCCCGCAGCGTTCCGCCGTCCGCGATCTCCAGCAGGTAGGCGAAGACGTCATCTCGCAGGAGGTTCATTCCGGGGTCAATCACCGTGTCTACACAAAGAACTGCTCTGCCCTCGGACTCCAGTTCCTTTTGCCAGTATTTCTTGGTGTCCCCGCTGAACAGATGGATCACCACCTCCCGTGCTTTCCTCACCCTCCTTCTCTCATGCCGGTTCCACGGAAGAGCCTCCCCGGTCCATCCGACCCTTGGCAAGATCCTCACCAGCAGCCGAAGAGGAACTTCAGGAAATAGTTCACGAAGTTCTTGAAGATGTTGGACTTCTCCCAACTCCAATCCACTCTGACTCTCGTCCCCATTCAGGACCGCCAGGCGTGCTCGTTCCCGAACCATGCTCCTCTCTATCTCAGCGATGAGCTCCCGTCCCAGCCCCTCAGTGACCGTCGGACACATGCCCTCGACCGTGACGTCCAGCAATGCCCCGCTCGGGTCTGTCAGCGTGAATCGATCTCTCTCCCAGTAGGCTTCGTAGCCCAGCGAGATCAACACTCCCAGGGGCACGATGGTCTGTACCTCGTTCTGTGTCAGGAGAGTCTTCGTCCATGGAATCTGGCGAAGCAGAACCGACCCTTCAGCCAGCTCCACTCGGACCTCCTGTGCTCGCTGCCATTCTTCCTCAGACTCAGCCTTCCTGAGACAGTGAGTTGCTCCTCCGTCGAGTAGGGCTCGATCATTGGTTCTCACCTCGAGGCTGCTGAGTTTAATGGCCTTCATCGCCATTCGACCATCCCCCACTGGCCTCAGGCTCTTCAGAAGGGTGGTCGCCTCCGACAGCAGAGCCTGCACCTCCCCCGAGCTCGCGGCAGGTTTCTCCACCTTCTTCTCATCCACCACCTCCTCGACCGGGATCTGCTGGTCCTCCTGGTTCCCCTCATTCTTCTCGATCTTCTTAATTCCGGTGCCCTTCTCGGTGCCCTTCTTGAAGGTCTTCATCTGCTTATCCCCCTCCGTCTTGGGCTTTACCGACGGGCAATCTCTCTTGGTGTGCTTGGTCGACGAGCATCCAAAGCACCGGCCTTTCTTTTCTAAGCCTCCCCAGTCGTGCTTGAAGCGGCAGTCCTGGCCTTTCCTACAGCCATCATCTGACCCCCAAAAGCGACAGGTCTTCTCATCGGGCTTGATGTCGACCTTGGCTTTCTCAGTTCCCTTCTCAGTCTTCTCTTCCATAGTGGCGGTCATCGCCTTGACCTTGGTAGCCGGAGGAGAGCCCTTGGTCTCCTGGATCGGCTGCAGCTCGCTGATGGCAAGGGACTCCGCCTCGGCCGTGAGCATGTCCGCGAAGCTCAGCACCGTCTCCAGGTTGGGCGTCACATCAACTCCCAATGTCGCCCGAGTCGACGACATTCGAAATGCCACTTGGCTAGATCTCTTTCCCACCAACTCCGTCATCTTGTCCAGAGCTCCCAGCAGTAACGTGGCATCCGGTGTTGCGATGTCCAGCTCCTGCGCTCGCCTCAGACTTCTCCTCCACCCTCGAAGTGCCTCTACCACCTCGTTCATAGATTGAGGAGCCTTCGGTTCCACCAACTGTCGAAGCAGGCGGGACCGTTCTGCAAGTCCACCAGGTTGATACCTCCGGAACAGGGCGTACAGGACTTCAACTGAGCTTGTCGTCCTGCTCGCCAGCACCTCCGCCTTGATGTTCTGCGGAGCGGCATTGATCAGCATCAATTGACCTCGCTGTTCAAGGCGACTCCACACCCCCGAACACTCTGGCGGCGTCCGTGGCCTGATGTACAGGCGCTGCACCGGTTCTGCTTGAAGCCAATCTCGATAAGCCACCATGGCCAGGTTCAACACCTCTTCCCACCACTTCCAACTCGTGGCACTCAAATCCTTCATCGTCGGCGTGATGAGCTGAATCCAGTCTCCGAGGATCAACGAGCCCAGATCTCCTTCCCGTAGGTCCTGCAACGGTGGAAGCTCAACCGATCTGATCACCTCCCCCCCAGTTCCCATCCGACGAGCTCGTCCCAAGCTGCCTCAGAACCGACTGTGCCGCCTGTTCCAGAGGAGAGCCCTTCATCAGCTCTTGCATCCCTTCTTTGACTCCATGATGTCCCGGTTCTTCACCAGGTTGACGTCCCGGAGGTAGTCCCCACCCTTGAGCACCCCAAGAACCTGGCACTCCTGGTACTCCCGAACCACGTTGGAGTCCGTCTCTCCTCATAGGGTCCATCGGCTTGGTCTCAATGCCACCCACCGGGAATTCCGGAATTTCCACGTCGGCCCATGCCTGACCCAGAGCTTCCTTTCTCCCACGGTCAGGTGTCGCCGGTGGTGGTGCCTTAGGAGGCGAGGGTGGTGGTGTAGTTGTCGGTGGTCGCGGCTGATCCTCAATGGCCTTGGCTGCCTTGGTTTCGACCGTCTTCCGAAGCTCAGCCAATTCCTTCTTCAAGGCCGCATTCTGGGTCATCACCGCCTTCAAGAGCTCCTGGATGTCCATTGAGAACCCTCGACCTTCCTCTCCAGGCTCCACCCGTCCAGAAGTCGAAGGGCCCTCAGGGAATCCCGCCTCCGACTCGGCTGTGGGCAGCGCTGCAGGCCGCATTGCCCGGAGCATCACTTCATTCTGAAGTCGCTCGCTCCAGAAGGGGTTGGTGACGACTTTCCCCTGAAGTCCCTTCCCCTTCCCTTCCTTCTCACGACCATCACCACGTCGGGTTGGTCCATAGACCACAGGTGGTCCTCGAGGCACCGACTCCGCCAGCACCAGCTCTCCACCAGGGTAGTCCTCGATGGCCAGCTGCTCCTCTTCCTTGGCGCTCTCCATGGAGCCTTCCTCGGGAGTCGAGGACGCAGCTGCCGCGGTCGCCGCCCCGCGCTTCGCCATGGGAGCCAACGACCAGTGGGTCCGCTCGACCTCGACTGGGTGGTCTTACCCACCTAGCAACCGAGCGTTGGGCTCATAACCCGCACGACCGCTCGCCGCGGTTCTTTTCTCGGGTAAAAAGAGGCTTCGTATGGTTTCATGCCTTCACAAACTTGGTACACTTCTTGATTTAAGTGCATGTTCCTGCACTCTCAAACTAGGTACACTTCTTGATTTGTGTGCACCTCTTCTCAACCAAAACCATGGTACACTTCTCTATTTGTGCACCGGCAGGTTCAACCCCAGACCCCTCCAGAGGATTCGGGTCCAGGTGACGACAGGTCCCAATCATACCCCTCACGGCCGGCCGCGAATCTGGGTCTGGGCGAATCTGGGCATTCTCGCTTCACCGAAAACAGTTCTGATCTTTCGATGTAGGGAAGCAATTTTATATAGCCCAATTTTACCAGTACATGTGATGTGTTGGAGGATGAGACCGCGTTTTCCTTCAGCCTTAGTCGTAGGTCATGTTAACAAAAAAAGAAGGGGTATCCGGCACCAACGGCGCGTGACCAGTTTTTCAGGCAGCGGTGCCATTCTTCAGCATCAGTGCTTCAGAGTTCGTGGAAATCTTCGCAGGCGACCGAGCCGGGGTGCGCGATTGCAACCGAGTTGGAAGGAGATGGGGAGAAAGCAAGGAAGTTGGACCCGCTTGAAAATTGGAATTGCCAACGATTGGCAAGGTAAAGACAACCTCCTACGACTGAATGGATGATGGGTGGCTTGGGTGTCTTTTTCTGGCTCATCGTCCTGGCAATATTGTTGAATCTTGGAGTTGGATTCGCATAGACTCGTGTTATGGTGGCTGTGATTGGCCTCACACTCCTTTTTGAAACTCCCCACTACAGTAGTGCAAGGGTCCTTTTTTCAGGGCGAGTCAGAGCCTCCGCACCAGTAACATTGGATTCTGGTTGCATCTTGTTGCTTCGAAGTATAGGATAAGGCCATCGCTATTAGATTGGAGGCCATCGCTATTAGGTTGGAGGCCATCGCTAGTAGGTTGGAGGCCATCGCTAGTAGGTTGGAGGCCATCGTTACTGGGTTGGGGCATTTGCTAGTGGCTTGGAGGCCATCGTTACTAGGTTGGAGGCCATTGCTAGTAGGTTGGAGGCCATCGCTAGCAGGTTGGAGGCCATCGCTAGTAGGTTGCATGGATAGTAGGTTGGAGGCCATCGCTATAGTAGGTTGGAGGCCATCACTAGTAGGTTGAAGGCCATTGCTAGAAGGTTGGAGCCCATCACTAGTAGGTTGGATATATAGAGGTTGGAGGCCATCGCTATCAGTACAAATCACTAATATAGTCTGAAACATTAAAACCATTTGAATCCAGATCATCCGAACATGGAAACATCAAACATGGGAGAAACGACTGGGGGTCCAGTCAACCGGTTTTAAACATGATTGTTATCGGCGATGCACCAAGGAATTTCTTGACACTTTGGGTGTTGCCAACCAAATGTCTGACCATCCTGTCATGAGATCCGAAGTGGGCTGGGTAGTGCTAGGACACCCAGACAGGATAGTCCTGGTTTGGACTTCTTGGGATGTTTCAGCGCAATCCAGGCATTGGTGCTTCCCGCGTGCGTGACCTCTTCGAGCAAGCGAAGAAGCCGCCTGGGCGGAGAAACGCGGGTCGATGATTTGGCGATTGCAAAGATCAAAGTAAAGAGGACATAGATTCCCATTGCACATATGCTGGGGTTCTCATTGCAGAAGCAGAAGACTAGTATGAAATCTCGCATTCCTTTGCATTTGGGCTGCACAGTGTGACGGATCAAGATCTATCCTCCCGAGATGTTGGCGAAGATGCCCCAGCCACGTCTTTGAGTTGGAAGAACTTCATCAAATACATACCCCAGACATCCCCAGACGCTCCATGTATGTACTATATGCCGATCAGTTCGGGTGGTTTGGGGGGTCAATGTAGGCATATATGGCAGTCCCATTAGTCGCGTTTGGGTACTGGGTGTTGACAGATGTTGCAAGCCGGGGTCCGTGTCCGGCAGGGTCCTGTCGATCATTTTACAACTCATCTTTGAGCAATGTGACACTTGATGTCACCCCAGTTCTTGAATGAACCAGACGGGCTGCCCGGGTTTTCTAAGACTGAAAGGTGATGACCTATCTTTGGCACCCCAACAGGCATCAGGTGTCTCAGTGGGTCTCAGGGAGCTGGGTCGGGTCTTCAACGAACCGTGAATCGTTTGAGACAGACGGCACAGTTGGCGCCGTCCGTCGGGGGCCATGGGGCCTGTTCATCGAGGAAAAGGACCAGTACGGAGCCGTTTGTCCGTTGCACCACCGGTGATGCTGTTTGGCTGAGGAGTGCACCCTGCATCATTTTCATCGACGAGATTGATGCCGTGGGCCGGCAGCGCAGTGCGGGCTTTGGTCAAGGCTGGTGTCCGGGGCAGGGGCCGACGGGTCGACGGGCCGAGGGAGAAACTCCGCCACGACTCCCTGGGCCTTGAACACGAAGTGCAAGGCGTGTTTTTTCTCCTTGGGTGCTTACAGGCGGGCTTGACAGCTGTTTCGAGGTGAGCAAGCATGAAACGGCCAGGCAAGAGCAACAAGAGCAAACATGAAACGCTGCAGTGCAACAAACATGCAGCGTCGAAAGGAAATACTGCCAAAGAAACACGAGATGCCGGGATAAACAGGCATAACTTTTGCCCAGCACGAGGATCCAGCTATGAGTTGTGGTGGCATTTGGGGGAATCCGGCTGCAGTATGAATGTTTATTGCGGCAGACTAAACAACCTATAGCCTACATTGCTTTGTGTGTGTGTGTGTGGGAGTTAGTCCCAGTGGAACCATTTGCAAAGTACAGTATAGCATAGCATTTGACTGTTGAGGAGTGAGAACCATGTGTTGTGACGAAGCACACCTAGAGCTATGAGTCTTTTTTTGGTTGGTCCCTATTTCCAGATTAGAACGCTGAGATGATGTTTGGTCATGGTATCCTTGCTTAACAAATCGTCGGTCCTTCCATCGTAGAATCATTGACAGTTGACAGTTGACCCATAATCACACCAAGCCAGCCCATGCAGATGCATGCAGATGCATGCAGATGCATGAGGTATCCTCCCCAAAACCACAAAATCTAAATGAGGAACCAATGGGGCTCAATGACAGCAGAATCAGAACTCTGTTAACACATTGTTAACACCATTGGTTTGTTCTTGAGACATATCATATCAACTTTGGTGAGGGAACATTGGAATATATTGGACTTAAGATATAATCGGTTTGTTGGAAGTTGTTTATTTTGGTGGGCAGCTTAATAGTCATCCTTGCTAGTGCAAGTCTCTTTCACGCTTCCAAGAATGAACCATCCACAATGCACGAAGCATCCCGGCAGATGCTCAGAGACTGCTCGAGACGTTAAGACCCGGCCTTTTGGTGGCCTCACAAGTCCAGGTCACCGTCGATGATTCTGGGGCGGGCGGTTGATGCAGACCATAGTTTCAATCCTTCCGAAACCGTGGCAATGGGTATCAGTATAGTGGTATCAGGTTTTTATGTTGTTTTGGCGTCGAAAGAGCAGCCGGGCCGCTGCACGCCGTTCCTTCCTTCCGAAACCACGGAGGCAACGATGAGCGAGAGCAGACGGTGAACCAACTGCTCACGGAGATGGATGGCTTTGAGAGCAACAAGGTGCCGCGCGGGGGTCGGATCGCGGCCATTCGTAGGGCAAGGCAGAAATGGCAAGGTCGGACTGGCGGAAGGGCGGCTTGGGGTATTGGGAAGGGCAATGAATTGAGTATATATATATATGGGGTTTGGTGGTGAGGGCTTAAGAAGCATGCCAGGACATTGGCTTAGTACTTGGGGCAGTAGCAAGCAGGTTTGGCCAATCAGCTGCAGAAAGAAGGGAATGAATACCTTGTGATAGCTGCCAAAAGGCTTGTTTTCTTCACGGTGGCATTGGCATGTGTGCTACTCGTACTTACAGCTCTGGTGCAAGCATCGCAAGGGATCCATCAGAAAATCCTTGCTTTCAGCCTTTGTCAGCTGGCGAGTGTCTTTTCCTTCACCTCACGGCCTCCAAGCCTCCATCGCCAGGTCGTCGTAGGGCCTCCAAGCCTCGGACGGCATCATGTAGGGCCCAACCCCCCAGTCACAGCTTCCAAAACGCAGATGGAGTTGCTCATGTTGCTCCAAGACTTTTTATGTCAAGTTCTGGTCATCCGCCACTCATGAGATTTCATCAGGGCGTGGTGGTCATCGCCGCCACCAATCGCGCGGACATCCTGGACCAAGCCTTGGTGCGACCTGGTCGTTTCGATCGACAGATCCAGGCGACCGACATCGACCGATCCAGTGACGATTCGTGGGGTCGGTCGATGTGTCCCGAAGTGGAAGGAGAGCTATACCTGCAACCGAAGTCGTTTCTTTTGTCGGTGCTTCAACATACCTGTATTTAGTGTTTGTGAACCACATAAACATTTGCAACCAAAATAAACATCCGCTTAAAAAAAACATGTTCGGGAAGAACGCCTTTGGCTCACCAATAAACGCCCTTAGCTTGTGTATAAACGCCTGTGGAATATCTAAAAAACATCAGAAAACCAGAGAAACGTCCGCAGACTCAAATATAAGGCTGTGACTCCAAAAGATGTTTTTTCACGCCGCAGATTTAAAAAAACACTTTGAGATACTCTGAGGAAGTTCCAGGTGTGCACTTGGGGATCATCACAGCTGATCCTATCCCTGCTCCTATCCCTGATCCTATCCCTGCGGCTTAGAACCGCTTTCTTCATCCGCAGGTGGATCCACCGGACGTGCAAGGCCGAACGGAGATCCTGAAGGTCCATGCGAAGGACGTGGTTCATTGACGGTGCAGAAACAAGACCAGACCCCTTCCTGCAAAGGGGTCTCCAATAGACCAGGATATATATATATATACTATATTTACACTACTTAAGTGGATCTTTTTTTTTGACTCGCCCCTTTGAAGGTGCAGGTGGACGGTATGATACGGTACGTAACACATTCGACCCATCTAGTATTCCCGATTTCGGGACATCATGGAGGAGGACAACGTACGACCAGGAAAGTTTTCAGAAATGACGAGAACTCATTTGGGGTGAGGGTAGGTTTTCTTGGGGAAGAACATGGAAGAACATTGGGAACGGAAACATTGGAGCAGGTAGACACGTCCAAACCATTGCAAACCACTCAGATCTTAAGACCTTAAAACTCCAGGGCAGGTACCTGCAAATCTACCTCGGGGGAGGGGTGTAAAATGTTGGCACTGGCGCAACTGGCCAGTGCTTGCTTAACAGTGGCACCGATTGCTCTCACTATTGAGAAGCTCGCATATGTCAATCAGAACAAGCTCCAACTTGGCCTAGTATCATTCGCTCCAGATCACCGGTTACGACTCCATCAACGCATTTGTTGGCACCACGTTGGCACCACCAAACCCAAATGGCAGACTCCTTGGCTGTTCGATCCATCCAAACCAAATCCACTCAACTCGCGTGGACTGGTTCTTCCTTGCCCAGCTCCACGTCGTGCCCTGACGCCCGGTCCGCGGTCGAAAGGACAAGACCTTGGCCCCTGGCGTGGACTTGTCCGCCATCGCGCGGCAAACGCCCGGCCACTGGGCCGGTACGGGGGCGAAGGACCGGGGCTGTGGGGCTGAGAGCTGTGTGAAAGGACACCAGGAAGTGGAACCAAGAGGTTCTTGCAAGGCGGTTCGTGAATGAACAGCTGGCGACCGCAGTGTGGACCTTGATTCCAGTCGTTCTCGAACGCGACCCAATGGCCTGGCGATGAAGCCAATGGCCTGGCAGCGCACCAAAGAAGTGGCTCCTGGCCACTTCAAGCACTGATCAAGCCCAGAAATGACCTCGCCTTTGGTGGCAAAGGTGACATGACTTCGGACTCAGCATGCGAAGAAAGTCCGGAAAGATATGATACTTAATTCAGTCAAAGGCTATCATTAAATTTATAGTCTTTTAGTTACTGTATATAGTGAGCCACAGTTTTTGGTGATATGTTTAGTTGAGAAGCATCCCCACCACGGGGAAGACACATCACATTCAGGGTGATGTCAGTCACTACCTACACGAGGGTTTTGCAGTTCCCCACATTTGGTTTTGGCTCAATCAGGGGTGTCAATGCAAATTGTTGAGAAAAACTGCAGTGAAAGCATGCATGTTTTGTGCGCGTTTTGTGTTGTCCTTCATTGTTGTTGTTCTTCCGCAGCCTTTGCTGTCCTTTTTGCACATCTACTCTTTTAGAGGTATTTGAGATATGCTTTTCACCCCGCATGGCGGGTGAAAACTACAAACACGTTGATGGTTTCAGGGTCTCCTACGACACCAGCGGTCATTCATGCTTTGTCCTTTGTACATTGTAGGCGGTGGATGTCCTGTTAGGGAGCGCTGTACGGCCGCTGCAGGAACAGACTCCCCTCTGGATGTGCTTATCCACTTCACTCCGAAAAGGTTTATCCTGGCTTTGCTTGGTGAAGAGCTCAATGTTCATACTCCAGCATCATGATAAACCACATGTTATAGGGTTATTTCTTGAGTGGCAGTGTGACCTCTAGATTTTGGACCGCCAACCACCCAACAGATGGTTTTCTCCTATCAAAACAGGGGTCAAAAAGGTTGTAGGTATTTGTAGGTGCTCCGACTCATCCAATACTTCACAACACACTGTCACTATAGTTACAACCATCGCCATTTGCCCCCACAGCACCCTGTCGTCGGACCGCTCCGTGTCGGCGGACCGCTTCGCGGCGGGCGGACCGCGGCGCGCCGACGTCGAGGCATGTCGGGTGCCGACCTGGCGAACCTGCTGAACGAGGGCGCCATCGTGGCGGCCAGGCAGAACAAGGCCGAGATCGACGCCGAGGCGAGGACGGAGTTAGACGAAAACGGCAGCCTGAAATCAACGAGGAGCAGAAACAGCGCCAGCTCGAGCGCCCCAAGGAGTTCAGCCCAGCTAGCGACGTCTTCTGGGGTCAGAAGAGGATGACATTTGGTCTTCAATCAAGAGTAATGTCGACGTCGGATTAATCAACGGGACCCCCCCCC